ATGCATTGATCAGGTGTTCACCCTTCGTCAGTTGTTGGAACACCGCCACACGTATTGCAGGCCAACGATCGTTGTGTTTCTTGATATTAGGGCTGCCTTCGATTCGTTGGACAGAACTGTGCTCTGGAACTGTCTGTTAGAGAGAGGTGTACCTGAGAAATTTGTTAACATCCTGAAAGCCCTATACAGAAACACCTCAGGTAGAGTGAGGGCATACAACCAACTATCACCACTGTTCCCAACCAACAGTGGGGTTAGACAGGGTTGCCCAATCTCTCCGTTTCTCTTTAACTTTGCCATCGATGACATTCTGGAGTCAGCTCTGAAGGATGTGCGTGAAGGTGGTGTAGATCTGCTACCTGGAGATAGACTTTTCGACCTCGAGTATGCAGACGATATCGTCTTACTGTGCGATAGCATGCAGGCTGCCCAAATCGCACTTAATCAGTTGGCGATCAGTGTCTGTAAGTATGGTATGTGCTTTGCGCCGTCTAAGTGCAAAGTACTGTTACAAGATTGGCAGGAGCCTGTACCTGCACTCACTCTTGCGGGTGAACCGCTTGAAGTTGTTGATAAGTTTGTGTACCTGGGTAGTTGTGTGAGTGCTGGCGGAGGGGTGACGGATGAGATTTCCAACCGTATAATGAAGGCTAGGGTGGCATACATCAACTTGAGCCACCTCTGGCGCCGTCGCGACGTTAGCCTGGCTGTCAAAGGTCGGATATACAATGCTTCGGTGCGAGCTGTCCTGCTCTACGCCTGTGAAACCTGGCCTCTCCGAGCTGAGGATGTGCGGCGACTCTGCGTGTTCGATCACCGCTGTCTCCGCAGGATTGCTTGCGTTCGATGGCATCATCGCGTGAGTAATTCTGAGGTTCGGCGGCGTGTGTTTGAACAAAGTGGAGATCACTATTCCTTGAATGTCGTCATCTGGAAACACCGGCTCCGGTGGCTTGGACATGTGCTCCGAATGTCACCCCAGAGTCTTCCGTACAGGTCTCTGTTCGCTAGCCCTGGGACGGGATGGAAAAGGCGGAGAGGTGGTCAGTCCATGACGTGGCGTTGTGGGATGAAGGATTTTTGTGCTAGATTAGCATCGGTTGGTGTGTCACGACTCCCTGGTTGGGGTCCGAGAGATAGCTCAAATCGATGGCTCGAAACGTTATCGGATATGGCCAAGAATCGTAATCAGTGGCGAATGTGTTGTGATTTCCTTCTTTCTTCCCTTCCCGATGATAGCTAACGAACACTGTTTGAACTTGTTAAGCATGACTGTTTTCCTTCCAGATGAAGTTCTTTATCCGTTCTCTACTTATATATATTTTTTCTTTTCCTTCCTTCCTTTTTTTTGATCTATGTTGTTTTATTATTATTGTGTGGCGCATCTTTCTTGGTGCCATATTGTACCAAGTTTTTTGTGCGTTTAAATAAATAAATAACAACGTAGAATTTGACATTAAAGTACAACATTCCAAGATACAGAAAGGGATTTCTATTATTTGAATTAAGACCAATTAAATGACTTCTTCAGATCTAGACTCTTGAAATGTGAAATCAAGAACCCCTCCCCTCCGCCAGTTAGTACCAAGATAGCTGTCGATCGCGATGGTTGAGACCACCCAGTTAATGGTTAAGCTCTTTTTTTGTAACTGCATTCAGAACGTGATCAGTCAGTGTCTAGGAAGAGATGTAAATAGGACGACACCTCTAGATAATCGATTCTTATTCTAGTATAGCTTCTTAGCATAAGATTGATGAATGTTAATGAAGGTTTTGAACAGTAATACAGCTTTGACATTAACGCTTAGTGGGATACAGATACCAGCTAAACCATAGAAACAGCTTGGGAACAGATCACATATTTCTCATTTACTAACTATACCAGAAAGGTCGTTTACATAGTGGTTAGACTAGAAGCAGTTACCAACATAACTTAAGGCTTTTACATTGTATTGTGGGACTATGAACGAAGTTGTACTGCTGGCTAATAGTGATGTAACAACAGTTAGGATTTACCCTAGAACGACCAGCAAGCTAGGCATGCTGTCTCTTCAATCTGAGGAGGATAGTGGTCAGAAAATTCCAATCGCAACAAATGTACATTCCAACTGACCTAGTGGCAGACTGTAGTCTGATTTGACTGACTGACTGACTGGTTTCAACATAGAACTTTGCAACCACGTGCAGCAGTTCGAGTCGCCACACTCCCTCCTTGTAACACATAAAGCAAGAGAAGAAAGTAAAAAGAAATGAAAAATGCAGACAGTAAACAGAGATATGAGGCAAAAAGAATAGTAATGACGATGAACAATATAGTTTTATTGGAAATTATAAGTCACAAGGAGTGGATGCATCCGCGCCACTGACAACGATTTTGAGCCAAATCAACAATTGTCACCAGCCGTCATTGGTTTTTACCGTCCTGATGACGCCAACCAGGAAGTATACACCTTCCTATATGGCTGGCTTAAACTAACTGTTGTGGATTTCTTTGACTGATGGAACCATGTTTTTGGTTTGACCACCACTGGCTCTTTTTCAACCTGAATCATCCTGTCAGCTAACATTACCCGTTGTCGAGGAAGGCGATGACTAGGCATGGGTAACACATGTCCTAACTACCTCAACCGATGTAACTTCACCTTAATATGGATCAAACTCAGGAAACTATTTAAGAAAGGTTGTGTGCGTGACCAGTTTTAAGCGGTTGTCGCCTGAATTTCACGACCACAATACATTAATGCCTTTTCCATTTCAAGAAGAAACCAACCGAAACGATGTGGGTAGCTGAGGAGTGGAAACTCGCCGAAACATTCATAAGCATGCAGAGCAGAACAACTGGATCTCGTCTTTCCAACTCATATCATTTATGGGTACAACGTTTTTTCTTTGTTTCTTTTCCTTGTCTCTATTTCTTTTTTTGTTGTGGTCATTTGTGTCTCTCTTTCTTACAAACTCTACTTATAACATTCTTCTTCGTTCTTTTACACTCTGTATATCTCGACCTTTTTGTCACCGTTTACGTCAGTAAATATGCTAGCATCTACTTTTCTAACACCTTCAAACACTTTAATTTTGACTACCGACATGCTAATATGTTGTTATCAAAACTAACTCAGATTACACTTAATCTAAGTAGAATCTTATTTATTGTTAATGTACTAACTGGATGCAATACTGTAGTGAAATACTGAGAATTCCATTCTGTATCACAAGTATTGTTTTGGAATAAAGCAAATAATTATTATTGATATAATTATTTAGTTTACCATCTTGATCAAGTGCAGTCCATCGAAGTTATACAGAATTTGATATCTGTGAATATCTTATCTTTCTGTGTAAAACACTCATTCAAATGATTCACACACCAGACAAAAGCATACTCTGGAAAAGGGTTTAACCGTGAATATACACAGAAATAAACAAACTGCATTAGACTATAGAAAAAAAATTGATTAATCACCTGCAAGTACACAAAGCTGTTGTGAAACAACAAAACAATTGATAGACTACAAGTTTTTCACAAAAGTTAATTCGAATCATACATACGAAAAATAGAAGTACAAAAAGAACTTGGTCTAAACTTATCATACATCAAACGAAACAGCATTTTCGCCATTCTACAATTCCAATGAGACCATAATAGCTTGTCTGTCAGCAGTGCTAGACAATTCCATTATTTAAATGGATATGACACAAAGTAGACAAGTAACAGTGTCACCAAATTACAGGGAATAATACATATAGCTTTAGATTGAAGAACTATGAATAATTTCAAAATATTGTTTGGTACAAGGAATAAGGAAGTAGTAAAAAGGCATATTTTTATCAGGTTTTATCTGGAATGTGAACTTATGCACATGTTTCTCGCTCCTATAAAAAAACCATATCTTGATTGCTTTAAGCACCATGACCACTGTTACTGGTTTTTATCTTACGTAGAGTTCTTTTCTGGAGTACTTTAAAATCTAGTCTCAGAAAAAGCTTCATTTTACGATGAGCTGTCTGTCTGGAATCAACATAAAACTTGGCACCGAAGTGCAGCAGTTCCAGTTGCCACCTTCCAAATAGCACGCAGAGGTAGACAATAGCACACACGATGAGCATCACTACTGATTCACTGAGAGATCCATTTACGATAGTACAATCACTTATAGTGACTCCTTCAATGGATGTGTTTAAGATACTTGATATTCACCAATACAACTGAGGCAGGAAGCATTTATTACTCCTTAGTCCTGATTTCAGTATCCCTACCACAGCAAGAGTAAACAAGGAATACCATAGCCCAAATGACCCTGAGCCAACCAATCAGGTCACTAGTTGTTGCGAATGAATGCTTTCCATAATCTTTATTGTAAGTTTCAGTCTAATTCAGGGTTAGGGTAGGTTTAAGGGTAAAAAATGCAACGAAGGTTGTGAACAGTATCAGCTTGAAATGCTGAGCAATTTCACTATCATCATTAAGTTATATTCAACATAAAGTCAATTATTTATTAGAATTAGCGGGTCACATAACCACTACTCACAAGGATTCTTTTGCAGGGTCTTAGGGATATCTTAGAAACCGATTAGAACGGTTTAAGTGCTATATCCACTCCTATGGAAAATTGACACTTCTTTTTGAAACGTATTAGCGACATATATTCTAGGCACCTCATTGTAATTAGGCATACTTGCTTGTGCTATAAATACTTCTTACCTACAAGTGCATGGTTGATTAGTTCAAGGTCATTTGGATGTTATACTTATTATTCATTATTGCCCGAAGACAGTACCCCCCCTCAGTAACTTGTTGATAGAATGTTAAAACTGCCTTACACAACGCAACTCAAGGATATTTTATATTTAAAAACTAACTGACACACTAAAATACGAGGAATCTTATTTTTAACGCGTTACGGAATAGCAATGCTAATCAAACGTCTTTACTTAAGTAAATGATATTTCAGATTAAGCATGACTATGATATTTTACTACCAAAACAGTGGGTTACCTACCTTGTATTTACTATAATTGCCATCTCTCGGTTGGAGATTAAATGAACTCAAGGAATGAACTGAGAGAATTGGGAAAAATAATTCGGAATTACCATTGCGTGAATATGAGTCGTCATCACTGCTAGATGACATTGAATTATTGACTAAATCTTTTAGAAAAAATGAATAAGTTTATTACCAATGTTATCATCCAGTGATTCTTGTGAGTCCAACTCCGCGTCGACGACATGCATTCTTCAGATAACCAGGAGTAGCGTGCACTTCGAATCCAGCTGAAGTTTCGACACAGCTTTTTTTGAAAGGAATATTCCGAAATCGAGTCATAAGAAAAATCTTAAACAGGCGAAGAAAATTCCGCTATCAAGCACTTATTTTCTGAAGGCTTGCAATCGTGTTTCTAGATTTTCATTTACTCTTGCCTGTTCCTACCGCTACTGCGCGAACTTTGAAAAAGGAGTGATTTTTACACGCTTTTGTTTAATTTCAGCTTTTGCTGTATCATAGGCTCTAAACGTCTATAGATTCACTTTGAATCAGTGTATAGTGATCTAAGTTTACTATTCTGTTTTGAGTCCATTTAATTATCGGATGTGTGTTCATATAAAATGATAGTTTTTTATATACATTTTTGTACACTAATTGGATTTTTATCACTGGTTTATGAAGGTTACATACATAAGGTCAATTTGAATCGTTTTGTCCTAATTCATCCTGGAAAGGATGCCTGTCAAAAGGAACCTCTGTGGAAAATTTATGTGCCAGTTTCCAATTGAAGAAGGGATGCAGTGCAACAACTGCAAGAGATGGTTCCATACCACGTGCACAAATTCAACTCCTACAGCATACAGGCGCTGCTGGAAACTCTAGAGAACTGGATGTGCAATGACCGCATTAGTACCACTAAGTTTCGCTTAAAGGGAGCCATCGCCACTCTAGGTGAGGCGCTAAAGCTCCTGGACTGCAGGGGTCTACCACCACAGAAGAGCGACTACTGCTCAGACACCGACGACGTGACTAGCGTCAGAGAAACGGCAATACACGTCTGTGTCAGACAGTGAGTCCCCTGTAGCACAGAAGAGCACCCGCTACATTCCAGACAGTTATGATTTCACCGTGATACCGATAGGCCCTCCAGTGATTGTAATGGAAAGGCTGGCACGAGGAAAAGGTGTACTTGGGGTCAAAAACCAGCACCTGAAGTCACCCAGGGACTTGTAGATCAAGGGTTATCACCACTGGTGGATAGCAGGCAGACACAATCGACTACGGATAGCGACGTGGGCGCCAATAAATGGCGTAATGTAGTCTCCCGCAGAAAGCAAGACAGGAACACCTTAAACGCCACTGTCCCCGAAAGATGGAAAGATACTAACGCCGCAGGGCAAAAGGGCCACGGCAAGCAAACCTGATCTCCTGTACAAGTGGCTTGGTCTCCACAAAGTGGAAGGATCATCGGCCTCCGATCTAACTGAGGTTTGAACATGACCTTAACTTGGTCAAACCCCTCTTAGGCAAGTTACTGACAACAACGGTATCAGGTGTAGCCATACACAGCTTATACAGAATCGGCCATGATCCTGACTCGGCAGTAAATCAGACGTTAAGCCTTCTCGAAGTCGTAATTAACTCCAAAGAACAGAGTGATTTCATTCTACGCTGCTCTCGCTCGCTTAAATAATCAGGCATTTACGTCCATGCCGACTTATACTTAACAAACCGCTTCGAAAGACAGTCTGCGACCCTAGAATTAAGCGAACGACGCCGAAACGGCTAGAAAAACCTTGAGGTTGAGGGTTTTCGGGTTGTCATAGTTCAAAGGTTGATGATCCCTAAACCTCCGTGGGTAGGCAGCGAAAGCACCGAACTGGGTTGACAGTTTTCCACACAAATGTCCGCAGCCTGCTGAACAAACGGACTGAACTGTGTAATATGATAGATTCCGGAAATCCGGACGTAATTATCAACACAGAGACACGGCTCACACTTGATGTCGCTGACAACGAAGATAACCTTCCAAACTTTGAAGTACATGGAGTGGACCAACTAAACCGCAAAGGAGGTGGCGTAATCATCTACCTCAAAAAATACTTAACTGTGCGTAGCATCTAAGCACTCCGCCATGGAAGTGAATCGTGCGAACTGTTACGCTGTAGACCAAGGTATTGACCCCACTGCTGTATACTGCGTTGCAGACGACTTCCTAATAGAGAAACTAGGCTCCTGGACACCGGAACGTCAATAGCCGCTTAGTCGGCGACTCCAGCGCTCCAACAGTTGACCGAACAGGCCTTACAACGCCATCTTCAGACAACTTTGACCGCAATCTGCTGGAATCTATTATTTCGCTAGCCCTAGTCCGACATGTAATTAAGCCCATCCTCTATGACTCACAGCACTCCTCTTCAGCCATAGACTTAGCTTTCTCTCATGGTGAGGATGTGGACCCCATAAAACATCTTCCTCCTTTAGGAAGAAGTGACCACACTGTGCACACTTTCAAGTTCACAGCAATGGCAGCAAGGGTCAAAACCCCAGCTCTACCAAACGCTTAGAAAGCTGGTGTAAATGCTCTCGCCTCAGCAGCCGACTTAGTGAACTAGTACATAAACCCAGAGTCTCAAGTAGAAGCCGTACGGAACTAACTTAAACAACTTTACGCCCAAGCAACTGAAACTTTCATCCTTGATCTGTTCCAAAGGGTCTAAAACATTGCCTCCTAGAATAAACTGAGAGTTTTGTAAGTTACTCAGACGCAAACACAGATGTCGGAACCTGTCTGTCACACATGTGACTCCTGATATCAGTAGATTATACAACACCGCTAGGAACAAGGCTATTGCGGTAATTCGCCAATTAAGGATGGAGCACATCTGGCTCAAAATGCAAAGGCATAAGCTAAGAAAATTTTCTCGTACATGAACTTCAGGAACAAGACATTCAATGGTGTCCAAACGTAACTATTGACAATGACAGTCGAAGAAGACCAGGAAAAGGCAGAATTTGTGGCTGACTACTTCTTCCATGTATTTACTCAGAAGTCGTCACTCCCCATTGGATCACCTCTGGCTGCATCAGAGGAAAACGAGATAGATCCCGCTGACGTCGACTAAGACACTGTGCTTAACTGTATAAAAAACCGGATTAGGGGAAATCGAAAGGTCTTGATAATCCTCATCCAAGGCTACCCAAGGAGCTATCAGCTCACAATGCCAGCCCATAGACCATGATCTTTAGGCTCTCCCTCCTAGATGCAGTATTAGCGCGTGACTGGAAAGACGCCATAGTGACCCCTGTCCACAAAGAAGGATCAAGAAAAAGCCTTTCAAATGACAGGCCTATTAGTCCCAGCTGCACTTTAAGCAAGACACTGGAGAGAATCACTAAGGCAAGCATATCTGGAAAACAGTGGCTTGTTATCTAAAGCACAGCATGGCTTCCGAAGGAACTTCTCATGCCTGTCAAATCTCCTCACTGCATGAGAAGGCTGGACCAAGTCAGGCTGTAACATAAGACCCATTGACTTTGTCTTCATAGACTTCCGGAAAGTCCTCGATAAAGTTCCTCACAAAAGACTACTAATGAAGTTGGAAAGTCTCCGTGTCAAGGGCAGGTTGCAAAACTGGCTTATGGAATCCCTCATGGATAGGCAGAAAAGGGTTGGAATCAACTCAAAACTCTCCTCTTGGACAGCAGTGTGTGGCGGGGTACCACGAGGCGCGGCACTCGGAACTCTCATATTTGTTTTGTATACCACTGAGTTATCGCTGCTCACCGATTCCCCTATAGTCCTTTACGCAAGTTACTTGAACATCTGGAGAGAGCTGAAGGGCAACAGTGATACGCTCACGCTGCAAGGGGACCGACAACAACACGACAACTTGCTTCTGACAAATCACAACTGGAGAGGAATGGATTTGACTATGTGCTCATCCTTGGTATCATTAGGCCATTGAATAGCCCATGGGTATCCTCACTTCATACTGTCCCAAAAACAGGGTGACGATTGGTGACCTCCTGGTGATTACCAGAGTTTCAACTCCAAGACAAACCCCAACTGACGTAGATTACCTCAAGTACACATCTGGGTACTTATCCATACGTTGATCATGATGGCAAATGCAAATCACTGGATTCGCAGCGCCAGTTAATCAGGATATCTAGAAAATAATGGAAATTTGTTGACAGCTGCATTTAGAATCTCGCTAACTCATTTGATAATAACAATATACTGCCCCCCCAGGCCTCATTCGTCATTTTTTTATAGACTGGTTTGTAGTCATTCTAGTTCGGACGTTACAATCTCTCCCCATAACGTGGATATATTTTTGTCGATTTCTGGAATATTGTAGTGGATATTATACCACTGCTCAACTATAACTTATATTGGCTGCTACTCTAGCTTCCAATTCTGCAGATATATCACCGCCAGTTATCAAGTTTGGATCCACTCTTTCGCAGGGCTCATCCTCCTTATTGTAACTTTAGAACAACGTCACAGAAAAGAAAACTGTAGAGAAGTTCATCATTTTTTGGTTTACATACCAGGATCAATTTACAGGATAATTGGTTTCTATATACTCTGTATCTTACTTTTTAGTACTTTGTAAATTTATTGTTTATTTATAAGCAATAAAATTCCATACGGTATCCATAGTAGTACTTAATCTGTATATCCACTCGATATACTATTTTTCCATATACCCGTTTTCGATTTAGCTCGGCTTTAACTTTAAACCATATTGATTAGTTTTCAGCAATGGCACAACGTAATAAACGAGTACTTTCCATACGTAAGAATAGTTTGGGTCACTCAGCTAAGAAGATACGTACATCACTGTGCGTTCCGCGTAGCCTCAACAATGTCCCCGAAGTCATTGTTCCCGACTTGTTGTCAGAGGTATATGCAACTGCTGAACAAAATAAGTTGGACCTTATATCTCTAGGAAACTCTGTGAAGGAATTAAATGAGAATATAAACACCATTAAGCCACTACTGCTTCTTTGTAACCCAACTCATGATGCTAATCCGGAAAGTCTGCTGAAATCTGAGCGTATGTTAGACTTTATAGCCAGTGAAGTTACTAAACGAATCATGTCCTCGTACAACGTTCTCGCTTACAATCTGCCTGATCGGACGCCTCTGGACAAAATCAAAGTGACATGTCTCCAAGCGTGTGGCATGCCATCAGCGAATTGCCACCTAATCAGACTCAGGAAAAAATCAGGAAAGTAT